ACAGGTTCTCTTCCCCATCACACTAACCACCAACCCCAATAAACCACCACTGCCCACTGCCATGCTACTGCTATAGTCGTTACAGCCGCCAGCCACTCCCACTCCACTCAATTACTGCCAACCAAACATCAAACACGCATTAATAGAATTTGATTTCCTTTACGTGTAGAATTTATGCGTTGCCCTAGAAGCCTATTTTATAACTGTATCTATCTCTATTTATATTGAACTTGATGTTCTTAATAGTGATAAATAAAAAACAGTTATTATTATAACTGAATCATCTATCTTTACTTATTATGGGATTGTCACAAAATCAGACAGTATGACAATCAAAAATCTGTTGATGATATACTAACTATATATTCAAATTATTGACCATATAAACTACATCGTTTTCATTTAACGTTACTAACTATAATAAATGGTTAACATACGTAAAGAATACGTCAATCAATCTAACTATTAGTAGCTGTTTCTTGTAAACAATTCATTATTCAAAAGAAAAACTTCAAAAAAGCCCAATGATTGACGAACATTCTCATTTTAAATAATTAAATTCTTAAACTTTATTTTTAACTGAATAAATTATTGAACTTTCTCATTTTGAATAATTAAGTCATTGGACTTCTTTTTCTAAATAAATAAGGTATCAAACTTTTAGAAAATTAGTTAACTACACCAATTTAAAACATTCATAGCTGATTGTAAGTATTTTTTTTGGGTTAAAATGATGTAAATAATCAATTTTTGAAAATTCAGTATTTTTTTTATTAAAAAAAGTTCATAAAATTTAAGGACGAAAAAATTCGTTGGTTTTTTTTTTGGGTACCTTTCTCTTATTTAAGAACGTCTTTTGCTCCAAAAAAGAAAAACAACAAAACGTTAAAAGTCTCCAAATAATTTATGTTTAATACATTATTATATTTGGATATGGTCTTATGATATATTATTTAAACTGGTCAAAACAAATTAACAGTCTAACTTTATATGTAATCCAACACCATCACAAGGGATATATATATATATATATATATATATATATATATATATATATATGATACTTGTGCAATGTAGCGAGATACATCTTTCGTTTAATATTTCGTTTTATTTTTTGTCTATTGATATAATATGATTTATGTGGCATTGAGAAAGATAATGTTTTATTTTGAATAAAAATAAATTTGAAAAAATATATCGATATTAATATCAAATTAATTATTTAAAAGTTCTTGTTTTTTATTTAATTTATTATTTATTATAATTTAATCTAGATCAAATAGTGAAGTAATTTAGTTTTGGCTTAACAATAAATTTATTTATAAAGATAATGATTCTGTTAGAACTCGATAATTATCTTAATTATATTTTATATTTTTTATATTTTAAAATGAGATGTTTATTCTCTATTTGATTGTGTTTATCCGTAGTTAGTTACACGAATTCAAACATGAAGCTTTAATAAGTTGTACTTGTGCATAATTTACTTATAATCTTGAATTTTAAGTAATATACATCAATATACAATACTTCCTGCATAAAAAATGGTTTTTAAGAGTTTTTGTTTAAAGCTTTATAATATAGTATATATATATATATATATATATATATATATATATTATAATAGAAGTAGTAGTTTAGATTCTATTTTGGTGGATTTTTATGTTTTTTTCCATCCAAACCACCCAATTATTGGTGTCAATTTTTTATAACTCAAAATACATACAAGATTAAATTGGTGACCATTTTTATATTATTTATTTTTGTTTATTAGCTATGGTTTATTTTGGTTGGCTTATAAGGATAAAGCCATCACATTTTTTTAATATCATCTCTAACAATAATGTATAGGGGCAGAACATAAGTTTTCCAACCGTAAGGGTCGGACCTGATATATTATATATTTTAAAAAATATAAAAAAAATAAACTATTTAAAGTTAAAACGTAGTAAAACTCTAAAACTAAATGTCAAATAAGAAAATGTCAAACATCGCTAATCAAAATGGAACTCGTCGATCTTTTGCGGCTTTGAAGTCCTCCACGATTTTCTTGAGCGTTTGTGTTGTAGTGTCACATACATGAACAAGTCCAAAGAAACGTTTTATAATGAAGCCCTTTTTATCAACAAATCTCAAAACAATAGATATTTGCTCTTTATGAGACTTATCCCGTGCTTTGTCAACAAGTAAACAAAACCTTCGACCACCAATCGCCTCACAAATCATTTGTCTCGCCTTATTTGATATAAGATTCAAACTTTCTTTTTGAATCAACGGTGATGTCTATGATGCATATCTGGGAGCACGAAAAAATAACTCTTTAAGCTCGGTGCTAAACTCACCAAGTGCATCCAACATTTCAAAGGCTCATTGGCTTGAAAGTATTAATAGTTGTAGCCTCTAAATGCAACCGCTTGAAAGGCTCATTGACTCAAGTATTAATAGTTTAAACCCATCAAAGTATCAAAAAATTTCAAACAAATTTGAACCTAATCATTAATCAAACAATTACAAACAATAGCATCTTAAAACTTGAATAGAAATATAGAATTAAAAAAACCTTGTGATTTAGAGGCTGTAATTGGATTATTTGATGAAGATGAAGTTAAAATCATAGGGATTCCACTTGCATTTGGATTTGGTTCTTCATTTTGCTCTTCCATGGAGAGTGGAGGGAGGATAGATCAACAGGTCTATAATTTCAATATTGGATATTGGAGATTGTAATTTTGTTCATAAGTTGCTCGCGTAAGTTTGTCGGCCGAGATGGTCATGTGGGCATGTGGCGATGAAGAATCAACAACTTTAAACTTTAGTGGACTATGGGACCAGATTAAAAAAATTGGGCTGGATTAAAAGCTTACTGGACTCCAATATGGGACCAGATTAATATATATATATATATATATATATATATATAGAGGAGCGATCAAATGAAAACCACTCCAATTTGTAAAAACCGTAAAAACTACTCTCATTCGTCGATTTCATTGTTTAATCTT